ATCGATTTTCATTCAAGCAATTAGGTTAGCCGTTTTTCCCGTTTTTGCCCGTTTTCGTTAAGTTTAGTTATTAGGTCATTTTAATTACCATATTTTCTCTTTAGGATTCGTTTTTACATTTTAAACACACCACCAAAACCCTCACCAAACTCGCCTGGTTCTAGACTTCCTTACTTTATATTTCTATCGAAGGCTTTTGCAGGAAAGATCCTCCTTCCCTGTGGATTCGATCCCTAAGTACTACAATCGATCAGCTGTGCACTTTCGGCTATTGATTTCATTTAGGGTAAAACTTGACAACCATCACGACACACCGCATCAAGTTTTTGGCGCCGTTGCCGGGGAATGCACGCGTTTTCTTTCCCGCAAAACCCTAAGAAAGGTTGGTAAATCGACTCTAGAACCCCTTTTTCTGCATATTTCCATTTTTCAGTTATTTTGTTTCCATTTCAGAAGATATGGATCCTATAAATCGAAATTCACACTATGAGGAAGGTTTCTATAACACTCCTCAAGCCACCAGACGCAGAGAAGAACACCAAATCATCCGTACCACCGGCGCAGAGAGCTTGTTCGACGCTGGGAAGATCCTTATGGTCCTCCTCCGACCTACTTCGAGCCACACGCCTATAATCCTCCACTGCAGAACCCTAGTCAGCAAGAGGGCAACTTGAGGATCAGCAGACGTTTGGGACGCCTCGAAGGAATGATAAACCAGTTCCTTGATCAGCAGATTCTCACCGAAAACACCCTGCTCAAGAGAATTTATTCAATCTCTGAAGAGTTCAACAGAAAATTCGATGATCTGGCCAATCATGTTTGAGTTCTGGAAGAACAAACCCACAAGGACGCACAAACACTAGCTGGGATGATCCACCAAGTTGCAACAGAGCAGACAAGACAAGGGTATGACATCATACAAATCTCAAGCGATATTGTCGAATCAAAGCAGGAGATCAAAGAAGTCGGAGAATCCGCCTCCTGGTATAGAGAGAAGACAGACAAAGAGTTACAGGAGATCGAGCACAGGTTGAACAAGCTCGAGCTCAAAGCACGGGCGATTGATGCAAGAATGGAACAGATGCCCAACATTGAGCAAATTGAGAGATTTTCTAAGAAATCTCCCAAAGATCCTGATGAAGATGCACAACAACGCCCTGGTATGAGTTCATATGATGCTGGTCTACCAAATAAAGAAGCTGGAGAAGTTCGTGTCAAGTACAAGAAGGAAGAAACGAACTAT